AAGAGAAAAAAAAAATACCCTAGCATGCCCCCACCCCTCATCACAAACCCTCTCCCCATCCCGTGCGACAACAATAGGATCCACATCCTCCGTGGAATGAAACGTCTTTCCCAACCAATTCATCGACCGCAGACGATTATGAATTGGATGGCCCGTGTCGAAGCTGCCGCCGTTCCATGGGCCGCGGAGGAGATCGAGGGGGACGGGGGGGAGACGGTTGAAGATGTCTTCCAGTTCGTGGGGGTTGACCTTTCCTTGCTGTTGTGTGAGGGTGAGAAATTGCTGGGAAGCAGACCTTTGGCTTATTAGTGTTCTCTTTGTTATCATGGTCATGAGAGTGATAGAGGTAAGGATTGGCTGCATACATTTTTTTTTTTTTTTTCGGGGTTGTATGGAGTGAGCTCCAGTTGTGTTGAGATGCGGAGACGCGGGGAAGCGGGGAAGGGAGGTTATGTATATCTGGAGAAGTATTGATTTTGAGTGGCTAACCAGCCCGTAGTAGATGATGAAAGGGTGGGATTCTTGAACTTATTCGAAGGTACTAATCCTGGGACATTTGGGAAATGATTTGAAGAAGTAGAAATATCAGTAGAAACTGCAAGGGGACTGCTTCATCAACTGCATGTGCAGTACTAGTAGCTATCTCCTCGGTCCGTCGGATCGGCTACGCCCATACTGTATCGGGCTTTGATTAGTGTCTGCATGATGTACAGGTAAACGTTACAAAACACAAGTCACAATTTACAAATTTATAGTACTGCGTGGTCAAAGTGTGAAGGAGAATAATTATTGCTAATCCAACACATGATATTGATTATACTGCTTGAGCAAGCGACACTGCATACAAAGAAACCAGTAAAAAGTGGCTTAGGTACGCCACCGGAACCCAGGATGTTTCCAGTCGAGGTCCTGAATCTGTCGCTGCGACATCCCAGCAAGCGCTTGATCGACGTCGATACCATCGCGGCGGCGATTGTCCCAGCGCATCCACATCCAGAGCAAGGCCCCAAGGATGGCGGTCGCGGTGGAGGTGGCCAGGTTGAGACCGTTGCCGATGGGAAAGTCCGGGCCATCGAAGGGCAGGAAGGACCAGGTGGAGATCAGGCCGCCGATATTTCCGAGCATGACGTTTGTGCCGATGGCGGAGGAGCGAGCGGTGTCGGAGACGACATTGTTAGAGGCGTGTCCGTTGGTGAGGGAGCCAAAAGCAAAGGCGCCGCTGGCGATGAGGAAGGTCGCGCCGTAGCGCGTCATGGCGTCTTGGCTGGCGAGGAACATGATGTATCCGATCATGACCAGGGGCGGACTGAGGACGAACCAAGGCATGCGGCGGTCGAAGACCCAGCTGAGGAGGGGGAAGAGGAGGGCGAAGAAGGCGCCAACGACGTAGGGGGGCACAGTGTGAAGCTGCTTGCTCACGACACTTGCTTCTGGGTAGATCGTACCGACGATGGTGGGGGCGAAGAAGGCAAGGCCTTGCACGGTGATGTTGTTGAGGAGGAAGATGAAACCTGTGGTGAGGGTGACGGGGCAGAGGATGCCCCGGAGGGTTTTCGCCAGGTCGATTTTATCCAGGAGTTCGGTGGTAGAAACACGTTCCGATTTGATGCGTGCGATGGCCAGGTCCTATCAATGTTAAAGCCGTTTGGTAAATTGGATTTTTTCAGGAAGATGGTACCTTTTCATCCTGGTTCAGCCAGCGCGCGGTCTCAGGACGGTCGGTCAGGGTGAAAAACGCGATGAGCCCGAGGCCGATAGTAATAATGCCCTCGATGGCGAAGATCATTCGCCAGGACTTGAGGGAGCCGAAGTGATCGAGCGAGAGGATGGCGGACGCAAGAAGGCCTCCAAACTACACTAGTTAGCCGGAACAATCTGTACAGCCTGGGCGCGGGGGAAACGCACTGCACCGGCCAGCGGAGCCATGACCATGAACAGGGCTATGCGAAAGGTCAATTCGCTGCGACGATACCATCGCGACATATAATATGAAATCCCCGGCATCACACCCGCCTCGAAAATGCCCAGCAAGAAGCGCACGCCCGATGCGCTCTGTTGATCATGGACGAAGGCTGTTGCCACCGAGCAGATCCCAAACGCCAGCGTCGTCCCTGGAAGGAACCAGCCCGGGCCCAACCACTTGCAGGCCATGGTGGCGGGGATTTCGAAGACAATGTAAGCAATGTAGAAGATGCTCAGGACGGCATTGTAGTCGTAGTTTTTCAAGTGGAGGTCTTCCTCGAAACCGGCGAGCTTCGCGTTGCCTAGTCGGACGGATGTTAGCTTCTTACACAACGCCGGTAATCCCGCGTGGGAGTCGGATGATACCAATGTTGGCCCTGTCAATAAAACAGAAGAGGTAGAGGAGAGAGACAGTCGGCACGGTGTAGAGATCGATCTTCAAGCGCAGACGTCGCTCCGCCGCGCGATCGAACTCGACCAGCGAGCGACCGTGCAGATCCGTTGCGGCATGACCCTGTCCAGCAGCTTCGCGAGCAGCTTCGGGGGCAAGGAACTCCTTGTGATTAGAGAGGCCTTTGTGGTCGGCCATCGCGGTGGTGCACCTCGAGGTGAGCGTGAATGTCAACGTGGGATGTGGACGAGCCAAAAACGAGGTGGATCTAGGAGAGATAAATAAAAGTGATCTGTCCGGGTAATATCATATCTTTATGCCCTACTCGGCACGAGCGTCGACTCGTCATCTCATGGCAGCTGCGGATTGACTGGCAGGGGTGGAGATTGTGGAGAGGTAACTAGGCTCCCCTAGGCGTTTTAGAGCTCCAGAATCCTGATAGACACGACAAGGTTCGCCCGATTCCACCAACCACACGACCCTTGCTTCTTGGTTTGCTGTTGGCTCACCCTTGCCGGGGTGTGCCATCTTAGCTCCTCGTCACATCCTGCGATTGGCGCAGTGCGTCCTAGCTAAGCTGCTAAGTTTCGTGCATTTCACAGAGTGGTTTGGATTGCGAGTGGGAATAGAGACATTGTAGGAACTGGCACACCGGCAATAAGCCCCCCATCACGCACGATGGGATGGACAACCACGTCGGACAGAGATGAAACCGACGAAGAGACAAGCGGCTTGGCTGTTCATGTCGGGCTAGTCGCCTGTCTTCCCCGCATTTCTAGGGTTTAGCGCCTGTCGAGACGGGCGAAGAGATGACGAGTTGGGCAGTACCCCAACTTACGCCTCCAGAGATTTGCCCTTTTCATCTATCCCAGGTTCTCTTTCCGTGGCCAATAAGACACAGACGGATGAAAGTCTATTCGTACCCAATTGCCGAACTCTTGCCGATACTCGTTGACGGTCATCATTATCTGTGGGATGAGCCAGCGCTCCCTCCTATTCCACCCGCCCTTGGCGACCAGTTTATCATGTACCATTAAAGAGACAAAGATGATGAACGCGAGTTCGAGACGGTAAAAACAAAAAGTGGGAACTGTCAGAAAGAATGATAGGAGAAAGCACGAACCACCGTGTCACTGGTAGAGATGTACTCATTCACATCAATATATAATGACACTACCTGCCCTATCACGGGAATCCCCCCACCGGAGTGAAATGCAAGCAAGCCACAATGTGTCAGCGATGACTGGCCACCGTGAGCCGAGGATCCAGCTCGATTTATCCGGCTGATCGGGGATTGAGAAATGTACATCTGCCGATGTGGGGACTGTGGGGATTGTCTTCTGACTTCAGGTACCTTTGTGGTTGAAATTTGCTGTCAGTGGGCACATGACTGTAATGAGTTTGGTTGTTTGATGATTTCCCTTGCCAGGATGACGTGACAGACACCATGACAATGGTTAAGATCGTGATGATATTGATGGTTTTTGAAGTGCGAGGCGTCAAGAAACAAGAAGAGTCAGAGTAGCAAGTTGTGGGAAAACACCGCAAGTCAGCTGATATTGGCCGGTTACATGTCTCGTAATGTCACAAATTGTGGCCAGAAAAGTAAGGATACAGCCAAAGCGCAATCCATATATATATCCGTCAAGTAAGAACCACAAAGCCAACAGTGTGGTGATTGACACCAAGAGAAATATCGTATATTATCAGCTTCATCCGCAATCAACAGTCTACAACTCGTCTAGTAATGTGGAGAAATCTAGATCTTTATGATATAAAATCCACCCCTCTATAAGCCCCCTCCACGAACCGATAACAAGCAATATCGCCACCCACTAGCCTTCGAGCATGCAGTAGAAGGAACCTGAAACATAGTAGAATATTGACGTGCATATGGAGTACATGGCGGAATTCTCGCTAACCCAGAATATGTGCTGCTCCCTTGCCTCCTTTTTAGTGGGCTGCTTCTGGGGCAGAAATGCACGGTAAATGAAAGGAGCCCGCCTGGTTGATCACGCGTGGGGCACCGTCGTGGTACTATCATGCCCGCCTAGTGGTTTCATCTGTGACGATCAGCTACAAGGGAGTTATCGCATTCAAGATGTATCTTGGTTGATGACCGGAGCGATGTCCAAAACCAAATCGAGAATGAGACCTTGGGAAGGTTTGCCATGTCAGACTACAACAGGAGCATGGATATGGGGATTATACGATCAAATCCATTTATTACAGGTAGTCTAGATAGCGAATACCAGGAACGATCGATCCGACGGGCGGATTCTCGGTCTCGGCTGCGGCTGGGAACGGCTTCACATGCCGACGTGGATCAACGAGGAACGCAATCTGGGCGTGGGTACCGATATCGATCTACTACCTTAATCGACAATCTGAATCTCCATAGAAGCGTAATCAACATGTCAAGTCAAGTATCTACTGTCTACAACTATCCGTAATACCATGGAGACCCCTGGATCGACAAAGTCCCACAAAACCCCGGAAGACCGGGCGAGGAAGCGAGAGCAAGACAGAAAGGCCCAGCGCAGTGCGCGGGAGAAAAACAAAACCTTGATTGCTCAGCTGCAATCGCGCATCGAGACCCTGACTCGGTTCCACGATAATGGCAGTACGAAGGTCCTCATCGACGAGCTGGAGCACCAAAGGAAGTCGAACGAATCGCTCAGGTCGACGTTGCGGTCGCTGCAGGGGCTTATCGCCTCTAGCTTGTCTGATCATGGTGAGAGTCCCGTCGTTGGGTATGTTACAGTTCTGATGGGTGGAAGATTCTGCCGTGGATGCTCATGGCCACAGGCCGAGACAGAGTCCCGCGCGCGAGGCGGACTCGAGTCTGGATGAAGGCTCGGGGCCCTCTCGGAGCAGCCGCGAGCTCTGCCCAAACATGGAGCAATCGGATGATAGAACATATGATTCTTCTACTACTGCGACAGATCCCGGCCAGAGTGTGGCCCAGGAGAAGGTGCCATGCCAAGATTCAAACTCACGTGTCCGCCCCTCCAGTGTACTCCCCCCATCGGACTCATTTGGTCAATCGCAGGACGCCCAAGGCCGACTGTTCATGTACTTGAACGAGCTGGTGGAGCGTTGCTATGCCATCAGCCCACGTGTAGCGCCAGACCAAACCACCAGAGACGCCGACATCCCGATTCGAGCGATCCTCGACGGATGGGACGCCGTCGGCCGTCGATATGCGTTGGACCCGGTGTGGGGAATGCTGCGTGCCGCGGATGAGTCAATTTGGCGCAAGCTCTGTGGGGAAGCCGAGCGATTGGCCATTCTGCGCGTTGTCAGCGCCATGTTCCGGGTAGGCATCACCGCCTTCTGTGGTTACTGGCTGACCGATATTGTTTAGTACCGATCCGACCCATCTGAAGCCAATCTCCAGGCACTTCCCCGGTTCATGCGCCATCGACCTTCACAGCTGCGGATTGTTCACAAACCGTTGGTGGATTTTGTTGTGTGGTAAGTCCTCAGAGTCCGTGTATTCCTAAGAACGCACCGCTCATTACCAAGGCCGGGCCTGCGTGAACGCCTCGTGCTATTCCCGGATCAGCACTGCTCGGACAACTTCTGCGCCTTGTTCTGGAGCTGTTTCCGGTTCAACTGGCCGTACCAGGCCCGTCATGCATTCGTGCAACAGCCCCAGCCAAACCTGTACACATTCTCCGAGTTGTTCAACAAGTGCTTTTATGACTTGCAGTCCTGGTGCATGACTCCCCGCTTCTTTCACGCATTCCCAGATATCGAGGCCGACGTGCCAATAGCATCGGTGGAGACTCGCGGGTTGCTCTCCACCAAAGATAGCGATATGGCCGTTGGTCGCGTGGGTCCGGGTGACAGGTGGGTTCCACATGCTGCAGTGTCACCCTCGAGTGTGGCAATGGAATTCCCTTCAATGGATTGGCAGATGGATAGGATGGCGGTCGGTGGTCGTAATCAGTAGTCGATGGACGAAATGCATAGAGTCGATGAAATAGAAGTTTCCGTTCTTCCATCAACCTTGCTTACCCTTACATAGTAGTGCTGTTAGTAGTTCCGCCCAGTCGATCTGCCCATGGGACTCGGGGGTGGACCTGCCAACCGGCCGGGGGTACCGGGTGGAGCCAGACCACCGCGTCTCCACCTGTTCGACTCGGGGGAACGTTCCGCATGGACCTTCCATCACCACCTGTCCCGTCCGAGGCAGACCAGCCTTCGGGCCAAGACTTTTGACCGGACGGCTTGCAGGCATCGGATGTATTCCCTCCAGCCGACACATTCCACGCGGAGTTGGAGAAAGTCAAAATCCTCGGAAGAAACCCGTCCCGACCCCGTGACCTGGGGGGGCCGAGGTACAATACCCGATCGGGTTAAGCGCCGCGCGGAGATTAAACGGACCGGCGGACGAATTGGAAGTTCCCGTCGGGGCAGCCTGAGGTGTCCAGCCAGTCGGGTAACCCTAAATCACTCACCGACCCTGACCGGAGGGCGCGGACTGACTGGAGACTGGAGACTGGAGACTCTGGGGACACAATTGACCACGCCCCGTGGGGTTGAACCAGTCCAGACTCCGTGCTAAATGATGACCGGAAGGATTGGGGAGGACTGTGTCTCCCACCACCGGTCCGTGTCCTGGGTCGAATCTGCCACTCTGTCGCAGCTGCAGCAGAAGATTCTACGCTGTCTCAGATGGGCCTTCAAACCGGCCACTATTCGCCGCCGGTGTCTTGGCAGTCGGACATCCCCTGTTCAAAATTTCTCACCACGCTGGCCCAGGGTGAATCCTTCGTGAGAATAGTGTTCCCCCGGTAGAGTTGGCCTGCAGAGTTGGGACAGAGGAGATCATGTTGGCAGATCAGATGACGGTGGACTCGCCAGATCGCACTCTGATTCAGTTCCTGATCGTAAATCCTCGGCAACCCGTGTAAAGGTGGCGAACCGATAGACTCGAACATCAGGTTCATGGACTGACTCGACGCTCGTCCACACGGGGAAATACCACCTCGTCAGACAAAGAGACCGTCTGTCAGGTTTCCAATGTAACGGTCCCCACTTCCGATGCGATATCCTGGTCCATAGTCCACGATTTTACCCCTCCTATCCAATGTCCCATGGGGCACTCCCGTTTGGATGGAGTCCATCGTATCACAGCGGTGGTGCCATGGTGCCACCGTCCAGGTTTCTATCGGCTTATGGAACATTCGATCCCACCATACAGTTCGAAACCAGGCCGCAGAGGTTGTACTTAGGCTGGAAAAAGCCACTAGGGTCAACTTCTGCGAGACGTGGTAGGCCGCAATGTCCGATCCCTGCTAACATCCTCGGCTAGCGCTGGTCTCTTGATACTGGGCCGCATCGCTTCGAACAGTGACTAGGGGCTAGTGAATGCGACAACAGGCTCCTGTACCGACTGAACCGAGCCTCTCTTTGGCCAGTGTTGTAGACGCCACCCGCTTGAGCTCATTACGGTCCGAGCACTATTGCCAGAGACTTGCCTGCATGCAGTTGGCTTGACTTGCCCTAAACCTTTCTCTCCGACGCCAATACGCTACTGCTCGCTTCTTTTCACGGGGCAATTCCCGGGGGGGCAAAAAACAAGGGGGAAGGAAATAAAGTAAAGTAAGATAAAACCAATCAAACCAAAGAGGGAAATGGTTGATTCCCCAGGAGACAATGGTCCAATTCGATGAAGCAGGGAAGTTGTGTGATCCACCCCCAGGTGAGTGACTGGTGATCCCCACGTACGGAAGGAGGGAGTCCCGTCTGTGATATATAAAACCAATGCATCTCCTCCCCTCTCATAATATTCGCCCGTCGCTCTTCCTTGTGTTTCATCCTCACGTTCGTTATCTTGTCTTTTTTTTCTTAACAACCCCGTTCATCTGGCCGTTCGTCACGAGCAACAGTCCCCACGATGGCGGGCAGCAATAGCGATGTCGGGGTCGTCGAGGCACCTGTCACTTTCAAGGCCTACTTGATGTGTGCATTTGCCGCCTTCGGTGGTATTTTTTTCGGGTATGATTCGGGTTATATCAACGGTGTCATGGCTATGAAATATTTCATCCAGGAGTTTGAGGGCCTGGTAAGAGTGTCGCTTCTCATTTGGTCGTCTCCCGCTGATGGTTTTTCTCTCCTAGGATCCTGCAACTACGCCGGAGGATCATTTTGTCGTCCCCTCTTGGAAAAAGTCCTTGATCACCTCCATCCTGTCCGCCGGAACGTTCTTTGGTGCCATCATCGCCGGTGATTTGGCGGACTGGATCGGTCGCCGCACCACGATCATCGCGGGTTGTGGTGTCTTCATCGTCGGTGTTATCCTGCAGACGGCCTCAACAAGCATGCCCCTGCTGGTGGTCGGTCGTTTGATTGCCGGTTTCGGTGTCGGTTTCGTCTCGGCCATCATCATTCTCTACATGTCCGAGATCGCCCCCCGCAAGGTCCGTGGCGCCATCGTGTCGGGCTATCAGTTCTGCGTCACCATCGGCATGATGTTGGCGTCGTGTGTCGACTACGCCACTCAGGAACGCATGGATTCGGGCTCCTACCGCATTCCCATCGCCATCCAGATGCTCTGGGCCTTACTCCTGGCCCTCGGACTTTTCTTCCTCCCCGAGTCGCCTCGATTCTACGTCAAGAAAGGCAAGCTCGACAAGGCCGCCGACGTGCTGGCCCGCGTGCGTGGCCAGCCCCGCGATTCGGACTACATCGTCAAGGAGCTCGCTGAGATCGTCGCCAACCACGAGTACGAGATGCAGGCGATCCCCCAGCACGGCTACTTCGACAGCTGGTTCAACTGCTTCCGCGGGGACATCTTCAAGCCCAACAGCAATCTCCGTCGCACGGTTCTTGGCACGTCGTTGCAGATGATGCAGCAGTGGACTGGTGTCAACTTTGTGTTCTACTTCGGAACCACCTTTTTCACTTCGGTACGTTATTCCCCAGGGAGATCCTAATGGGTGGGCTTAACTGACGGGTACAGCTTCGCACAATTGACGACCCCTTCCTGATCAGCATGATCACGACCATCGTCAACGTGCTTTCAACTCCCATCTCCTTCTACACCATGGAGCGCTACGGTCGTCGCCCGCTACTTCTGTGGGGTGCCTTGGGCATGGTGGTCTGCCAGTTCATTGTCGCCATCACCGGTACCGTGGACGGATCCAACAAGGCCGCCGTCAGCGCTGAGATCTCCTTCATCTGTATCTACATCTTTTTCTTCGCTTCAACCTGGGGTCCTGGTGCTTGGGTTGTTATCGGAGAGATCTTCCCTCTGCCTATTCGTTCGCGTGGTGTCGCTTTGTCGACCGCTTCTAACTGGCTGTGGAATTGCGTGAGCCCCCCCGCCTTCTTCTATCTTTACTCGATTTTATTTTTTATCAACTAACTGAATAACTACTAGATCATCGCCGTCATCACCCCCTACATGGTCGACAGCGACAAGGGTGACCTCAAAGCCAAGGTGTTCTTCATTTGGGGCTCCCTCTGCGCCTGCGCCTTTGTCTACACGTACTTCCTCATCCCTGAAACCAAGGGTCTCACCCTGGAACAAGTCGACCAGATGATGGAGGAGACCACCCCGCGCACCTCCGCTAAATGGAAGCCCCATGGCACCTTTGCTGCTGAGATGGGTCTCACCGATACAGCTCTCACCGAAAAAGCTGGTATTGTTGTGGAGCACGAGAAGGTTTAGGTGGGGTAGGGCACTGTGTGGGTATGACGGTGGCATGTGGCACGTTAGGTTACGTTTATGTTTAATACTTTGAATGGGTGGGATTGGGGCCGATTTTTGACGCGTCTAAGATCGGGATAGGATATTGCTTGCTTGTCATTTGTCTCTCGTTTTATGAGAATTGATATTTGGTATGGCTGTACTTCTTGACATCTTGATTCTCGTAATCGATTGACTGCGTTGATGTGAATAGGGCTTGACGCATACATGCATGAAAATTGAGGTCCACAAGTGTATATTACATTTATTTCACCCGTATTTCCAAGTCAATCAAACCGCCTATCTCATGTGGAAGTGACTGCAATCGGTTGGCATGTCTGCTGACCGGCAGCATTTTCAGAGTCCTTTCCCCACTGTTTCCCATCTTGTATTCTCAACCATCTGCATCATTCTATGTAGTCCGAATATCATCAATTGCATCGCTTACGACGCGTTACATCCCCCATTTCCACACCTAACATTATGAACAACTCATTTGAACGTTGGTACTTCTATGGTAAAACCAGTATATATTCCCAGATTGATTACTCGTCATACTATCCATCCAAACAATAACTATACAACCAATCCTAATAAACCAATTGTACTAACGCTTAACCTGCTTGCATATCCACCAGAATCTTACAATGCCGATCCCTTTCCTCAAGCAACGCCTTGAAGCCTTTCTCCACCACATCCTCCAACTTCACCGTGGCAGTAATCATTCCACTCGGATCGAGGAGTCCTACATCGTCAGTAACCGTATATCCCACAACACCCTCCCAGGGTAGAATAAATACCATCACTCAACGCCCTAACAGTCTCCTTAAACGACATCTCATCATAAAGCGCAGCCTGCATATACTGCACCTCGCGATACATCAAATCATTCACCTTGACCATGGGGCCCCTCTCCCAGAGCGCAATGTTCACAATCGCGCCATGAGTCCGACAAGCCGGAATAACACCATTCAGCGCAGCCTCCACACCAGCAGTATCAAACACAACGTCCGCGCCATGCTCATGCGACAACTTGCGCGTTCGCGACACAACATCCGCCTCACCGGGGTCGATGATCACCGTTGCGCCGTATTCGCGGGCGAGCTTCTTCCGGCTGTCCATGGGTTCGACGACGACAATTTCCCCTGCGCCTTTTAGTTTGAGCACCTGCACTACGCAGATTCCAATGGGGCCGCCGCCGATCACGAGGGCTGTGTTGCCGGGTTTGAAGGGGGAGATGTTGACGGCGTGCCAGGCGACTGCGAGCGGTTCGATAAGGGCGGCTGTTTCGGACAGGATGGAGTCTTCGATGGGGTAGAAGTGGCGGGATGGGGCGACGATGTGTTGGGCCATGCCGCCGCCGTAGCCTTTATCTTTTAGTTTATAATTTTAAAGCGTGCTGTGCCTCGTTTTGTTTAGAGAAGGTCGGAGGCGGGAAAGGGAAGGGGGGAATACCGCTCAACCCAATAAACCCGATATTCTCACAACAATGTCGCACACCCTGCTTGCAAGAGGAACACTCTTCATCGTATATAGTAGGGCGCACAGCGACGCGTCGGCCCGGCTTCAACTTGTCATCGTGAATGCCCGCTCCAACCTCTTCAATCTCGCCGCTGAACTCATGGCCCATAGTAACGGGGCGTTTGGCCCCTGTTATAGGGTGCGGTGTTTCGGGGATAAGTACCGGGCCGGAAGAGTACTCATGCAGGTCTGTAGTGGTCTTTTGGTCAATGTATGGCCATCGCCTGGGTTGGTATACCCACGGGAAGGGAGTAGGAGTGTCTAGCTACCTGTCCCGCAGATCCCGACATAGAGCGGCCGGACCTGTGACTCAACGTCACCACCACTCTGATATCCCGAGAGATCGAATGCGAAATACCTTCACCTGGCCATATCCACACGTCGGCTCCTTCACCTCGTCAAGTCTCAGATCGTGACGTCCGTGAAATCGCAGCGCTTTCATCATTCTGCCCGTTGTTGCTCCTTCAATGCCATCCACGATTGAACTCGTGGAGGTGTTCATATCGGGGAGTTTCTGCTGAGGAGGGTGTGATTCAATGGGGAAGACCATCTTGTCGAGTATGCATTTACATTGGATTTGAGACGGATCGTGTAACCATCCATCATTCCACGCCGTGTTTCTGTTTCTTTTATTATCACAGGCTCAGTGGCACTGCATAGCTCAGGATCAGGATGACGTTCGTGTGAGCAACACCGACAGGGGTCAGGGTATGGCTTCGTCATGCGTGTCTGCGTTCAGGCCTATGGGTGTATATGAACGTATCGGGAGGCAGCCGTGATAGAAACCCTGTCGTTATGGCCATGAGTGTATCGAATGAGGGTGCGATGGATGGAGGGAAGCTTTGATCCCTCATAGGGGAAGTTATCTACTACGGTTTTACACGGAACCGGGTATCCCCACATTCATTGCCATAACGTCGAATGGCTGTAGAAATCTGGGATGATACTGGAGAAGGATTAGGCATGACGTCAGTGAAGCGTCATCGGGTTGAGGTACGAATCAGTGTATCTATATCAGAGGCTTTGTTTAGTGACTCGTGGTTGTAATGGGATAAATGACTTGTAGTGATCCCTGGTTATGCTCAAGTTATTTCTCTCAAGATATATAATGGTATCAAATAGATGTATAAAGAAGAAAAAACAAAAATAAAGCAAGGACCTAAGGTAGAGGTAAGATAAATTCTAATAATAAAAAGAAAACTCTGGCCTCGGGTCAACTAGGCGCATGATTCAAGGAGGAAATACGAGTATAATTGGCGGGTCACTCGATACTCAAACTCAATTCTTCGACACGGTGGCGGAGGAATCCTCCTAGACCCTGGCCTGGCCTGAACGTGTTCAACCCAATATATTTCAGTGGGTCTTATTGTTCTAATCCAATGGTTATCCACGGCATTTTTACCGGAGGAAACATCCAACCACTCACAGGCTGTCGATCGGCCTGACGTGGGGTCTTCTCGGCCTTCTACTCCATATCCAGGTAGCATATCACCTCACGACAGACGCGTCTCAGAGTGTTCATTCCCCTTCTGGTCACTTCTTGAACTTTCTCTCCTTGTCTTACTTCCTTCTCCTCTTTTTAATTGATACAGCCCGTTGATCATTGAATGGCCCACCCGGCAAACGGGCCAGGCGCTTGTTCGCTCGGCTCAGGCTCCGCGAACCATGGCCGCGCATCCATCAGAACCAGGGCTGGTCCACTCACCCTCATACGTCATATCGCGAGTTTATCCTCGATTCTACTCTTGCGGGTTCTCGTCCGCCAATCATCGTTCTCAATCGCCTATAATGTAGATGTCCCACCCAACGCCGAGCAATGTCCATATCCCGGTCTGTCCAATCGCCAGAGGCGTTATCAGAGGGGCATGCAAATTCTATCCTTCTTATAAAAGCGCAGTGGGCCGCGACGGGGCATGGAAGGGGCTAAGGAAGAAAGGTCCAAAGATAAGATGTTATCCTTAAATCAAGCACCGTTGCCATTCCATCCGGCAGTCGAATCTCCCGCGACTACAACGCACCAAACTCCTTCAACGCCGGTTGGACACAGAATGTCTCTCTTTCAAGGAACCGTTATTCTGGGAACTGCCTTTGAGGTCACCCAACGCTATACGGATTTGGTTCCCATCGGGACCGGGGTGTCAGGATTAGTCTGGTATGTTTTTATGTCCATGAAACAGTCCGTCACGTAGTCACGTACTAACAGGATCAGTTCCGCTAACGACCTGATCACCAAAAATGTGGTCGCCGTCAAGAAGCTGTCAGATCCGTTCCGGACCGCTGCCATTACGAAATTGCTGTTCCGCGAGATCCGGTTACTCCGACATTTGAAGCACGAGAATGTACGTTCGCTTTAGTCAGACTGGCTAGAGCGACGCTAATTCAACTAGGTGGTGAATTTGACAGACATCTTTGTCTCTCCGTCAGAGGATATGTACGTTATATTGCAGAATCTAAAGGTCGTCACGGCTAACAAATCCAGATACCTGGTGACGGAACACATGCGAACCGACCTCTCCGTCCTCCTCAGCCAAGGCCCCATCGAGGAGAAATTCGCCCAGTTCTTCTTCTACCAGATACTGGTATGTTTCTCTGTCCCTTTCACGCGCAATCAGACTAACATTTGAACAACAGCGCGGTCTAAAATACATCCACTCCGCCGGAGTTGTCCACCGCGACCTCAAACCGAGCAATCTCCTCATCAACGAGAATTGCGACTTGAAGATCTGCGACTTCGGTCTGGCGCGCGTCCAGGAACTGCGCATGACCGGGTACATCTCTACCCGCTACTACCGCGCCCCCGAGGTCATGCTCTCATGGCAGCACTACAACGAGAAGGTCGATATCTGGAGTGCGGGGTGTATCTTTGCGGAGATGCTTCTCGGCAAGCCGCTCTTCCCCGGAAATGATCATGTTCATCAATTTAAATTGATTACGGAGACGTTGGGGAAGCCTCCGAGTGAGGTTCTGGGGAAGATTAAGAATCTCAACGTACGTCCTCCCTTCTGTCTTCGATTCACTTCATGAAAAGGATGATACTGACAACGACTAGACGCTGGGATTTATCAACAGTCTCCCAGACTACAAACCCCAATCGATAGCCGATCTGTTTCCCAGCTGTGATCCGAACGGTATGTACCCTATTCATGTTCCATGAAACACCAAGTCCTTCCTAACAACGCACAGCAATCAAGCTCCTCAATCAAATCTTCGTCTTCGACCCCCAAACACGTCCCACCGCCAAGGACATCCTCGAATCACCCTTCCTCGCACCTTACCACGACCCAACCGACGAGCCCACAGCAGAAGAAAAACTCGATTGGTCTTTCTTGAAAGAAGAGCACACCCTCGACACATGGAAGCTGAAAATGTATGCTTTCTCCCTTCCTTCTTAGGTGAGATTTACTAACTCCTAATCACAGGTACGCCGAAGTCCTTGGCTACCACGAACGAGCCACGCCTTCACAAGGGGCCAACATACTCAACGAGGCCGACCTGTTGGAACCCGCGAGTCATATGGCACAATTTGACATGATGGACACCTTATAGACGGGGAGCATCCGCTGCATTCATGCCTGGGCACATTTCGGTCTGTAACGGCAACGTGCACTATTGAGGCATTACTACGAACATAACGAAAGCGGAGTGAGGTAGGCGCATTTTCATGATACATAGAATTACATCCATTTTTTTGATTGTCTGCAATGTTTGCGTTTAGCAATTGTCGCGTTGCAGGGTGCGCCGTCTGAGCAATGCTTTTTATCCTATCTCTAAACATCAAAAAATTTATATATGTCGCAACATCAGATATATAAAGATTACTTACAGACTGCAGAAAATGTCGCGATATCTTTTGTAGCCGAGTGGTATATTTTGCAACAATATATTATTGTTCAACGGGTAGTTGCTGTTTTTGGGAGGTAGTACGCCTCATCTGTCTCGCACTTTGTGTCTCCTACTATAACTACACTTCCTCTTATCATGATTATTATATTCAAGTTATAATAGTTTCGCTAAATACCCCCCGTACTATTGATATGCACATTGTATATGTGGAAGTGACTGCAATCGGTTGGCATGTCAGCTGACCTGCAGGACGTCTCCCACACTATTTTATCGTTTGTATTTTGATCGTTCTTTCAACCATCAAGCAACATTTTACTCAGTCTGAATCTCATCAATTTGGTCCTTTAAGACGCGTTTTCATCCCCTACTTCCAGGATAAAGGCATAGGCACGTGTAAAGGTCCACGTGATATCTGAGACAAGGCAGTATGCGTCAGCTGACCACAAAACGCATCGTTTTCTGACGGTTGCACTTCTGCAGCTTTTGATCCTTCCGACATATTTTCTCTTTGACAGGATGATCACTATCGTCAGTTTCATTGATTTTGGATCAGTTCCATCAGATTCCGTCCAGGACAACCATAATACCATGTGCTACAAAAGGAAACAGGGAATTATCACTCGAATACCAAAGATATCATGACACCTTTGACCTTCGTAAGTTCATGTGTTCAGCACGACACTATGATGGTTAGTTGATATCTCAATGTGAAGTAAAATCGCGGATCCACCAATGTAGTATTTCGCTGGCTGAGCGAAGTCCCTGATATGAGTCTTGCTCACCATGGCTAGATTGTGCGAGACGGTCGTGCGAGATGTATGTCCGACACTCATGATAGACACTACCTTGGCAGACGACTCTGCTTACTATCAACAAGCATTCTGACTACTTAACATAGAGATCTCCCCGCGCACCCCCGGGTCGCAACTGGACCGATCAACTTCTTCACAACCCCTACGATCAGCGTGCTATGGGGCGCTATAGGGCGCCAGGGACGAGAGCATGCGAACAGTGCAAGAAACCATCAATATACCTCGAAGAGAATTCGTTAAATTGGCAAATGACTGACAAAATCGGTGAAAGCGATAACGGGTGTGGTGTTTTTGATATGTTGAAAAGAAAGTTGAACCCTCATGTGTGCCGTGAAAGCATTTATGCCCTACCGTCCAGCTGACAATGGCAAAATCAATGTGACTGGTTGCATCCACTGCCATAGTACGATGCCACGACCTAGGCAATTAGCATCCCAGCCATTCCATATATACCAAACATGGTTAACTCTGGTAGGCTGCATCACATAGGGGTTGCGCTCCGCCATTGGGACATTCAAAGGTGTTACTATCAGATGAATAGGAACTACGGTGGACCAATGATGGTATGACTCCTGGCGCCCAAGGCTACCCCTCACGGTGAGCACAAGGCTGGCGTGGCTTAGTCAATGTCTAGTTGGTGTTCTACCCCGACGATTCTCACCTCCTCGCCTCACAAAACTCCTTCAAGGTCGAGTTAATCAAGCACCCAGAGAGAAAATACACATATATACACAAAATGTCCTGTCCCGCACTTACCGAATTTGATATTGGCTGGATATGCGCTCTGGCTATTGAGGTTGCGGCAGCCAGTGAGATGCTTGATGAAAAATTTGAGCCACTACAGGAACAAGACGCCGGCGACTCCAATATTTACACCCTGGGCCGAATAGGTAATCACAATATCGCGATAGCTTGCCTACCTGCGGGTCAATATGGAACCACTTCGGCTACAACCGTCGCGAAAGATATGCTACGCACATTCTCAAACTCGTTGCGGGTCGGGCTTATGGTCGGTGTTGGGGGAGGCATTCCATCCCCCGACCATGATATACGTCTTGGCGATATTGTGATCAGCTGCCCAGACGGTACTTCCGGAGGCGTCACTCAGTATGATATGGGGAAAATCTCCGTTGGTGGTAAACTCCAACGCACTGGTTCTTTGAATAGTCCCCCAAGATCATTGCTGGCAGCGGTCAACGGTATGAGGGCAGCAGAACTGACTGATGATCCTCGCTATCCGCAATATCTTCAGAATGCGGCTGGTAGAACTGCAAGAACCAAGAAGAATTTTAGCCGGCCTGATTCACGACATGATCGGTTGTTCAGAATTGAGCACCCGCATCCTGAGGCTACCAAGAACTGCGACACATGCTTAGCCGAATGGGAGGAACCTAGAGACGAGCGAGAGGATGATTTTCCACAACCATTCTATGGTATAATAGCATCTGGCAATGTCGTTATCAAAGATGCGTCGACAAGAGAATCTATTCGTTCTGAAACGGGGGCACTTTGCTTTGAAATGGAGGCAGCTGGTCTCATGCAAGATTTTCCATGCATTGTGATCCGTGGAATTTGTGACTATTCTGATTCTCACAAGAATAAGGCGTGGCAAGGGTACGCTGCCTTGGCGGCAGCATCATATGCCAAGGAGCTGGTGGAAACCTTACCCCGGGGCCAAGTTGCGCGTGAGAGATTAGCCACGGATATATGTAGTAAGTAGTAGCTAGTCTGACCCTGAAACTGTCGACGGCGGCTCATAAAGTCTTTCATAGGGTCTGTACAAAAATTGCATGAAGATGTCAAAGGTACAAATCAACGGCTGGACAAAGCATACCATCAACAGAGCCAGTACTATCTTGATAATAATCAGCGGCAGTGTCACCAAGTCTTTAAAACCTCAATCTACCAACAGTACAAGGATAACAACCCCAATCGAGAACGAGAAACATGTCAGTGGGTCTTACAGGACCCAATTTATCTCCGTTGGAGGGATAGTTATCGCAATGACCTTCTCCTGGTGTCAGCCGACCCCGGCTGTGGCAAATCTGTCCTGGCGAAATCCTTGATCGATCATGATTTGAAGAAACTGACCCCGTCAGCTTCGATTTGCTACTTCTTCTTCAAAGACAACGAACTGCAGAACAAACTTTCTATAGGGCTATGCGCGATACTTCATCAGCTTTTTAGTCAACAGCCGAGCCTCTTGCAATATGCAATACCATCCTGGGAGAAAAACGGCCACAAGCTTCAGGACGAGGTGGGCGAGCTTTGGTCGATTCTGCTGGCTGCAACCTCACATCCTACATCACCGAACACAATATGTGTCCTCGACGCGCTCGATGAGTGTCATTTGAATGATCGAAAGCGACTGATCCAAGAGCTCAAAGCTTTCTATACTAGTGGTCAGGGTGGCTCATCCAACCAGCCCCCTTGCCTCAAATTTATAGTCACAAGCCGTCCCTATGCTGATATAATAAGCGGGTTTCGAGATATAACTCGATTATGCCGACATATCCACTTAAGCGGAGAGGAAAGGAATGCTCTTATCCACAAAGAGATTGACTTGGTAGTCAGAATCAAGGTGCAAGAACTGGCCGAAATAACGGGCATCTCACAGAAGGTGCAGGAGCAGGTTGAGCAACAGCTGCTTAAAATGGAACATCGCACGTACCTTTGGTTACATTTAGCCATGGACGATATCCGAACAATGTTCCAAGACAGCCTACGACCTGCCGAGCAGGCAATTTCTCTTGTACCCACTTCCGTGTCCGATGCTTATGCAAGGATTCTCGAGCGAGTCCCATCCGGTCAAGAGGATACAGTGCGAAAGATCTTTCAGATCATCGTTGGTGCACGAAGGCCATTATCTACACGTGAAATGGCTATGGCCTTGGGAGTGGCCACCAAGCCCAATGCAGTAATTTCAGCAGAGGCCATGCTACCTGGAGAAGGTCTAAAAGCCAAACTACGCCGATTGTGTGGGTTATTCGTTTTTATCGATGATGACTCAAAAGTACACCTGATCCACCAAACAGCCAAGGAATTTCTTGGCGAATACAATGCTCCCAGCAGTTCAATTCCTTTTTATAAATCTCGCTGGGTAGAAACCCAAAATCTTTTGGCCAGCGTTTGCGTTAGATACCTATTGATGGAAGACCTCGACAGCCAGATGCACGAAGAATCCGATCTCCTCAGCTTTTTGAGATATTCAGCAGTGAATTGGGCTGACCACGTACGCAACATGTGTTTGTCTTCATACTCTGATCTGAAGGACCTGGTATATTTGTTATACGGCGTATTCACCGTGCCATTCGACCTTTGGTTTTCCATATTTGAGCTTGAATCAAGTTGGTCTTCTATGGAATGGAAAGATTGCTTCCCTTGGTCTATGCACTACAAAGTCCATGCAATGCACCTAGCAGCATTCAATGGCCATCATGAAATAGTACATAGACTTGTGCTAACGGGCGGAAACACGACGATTCATAAATTTGGGACCAGTCCCGGGACTCTCCGGCGACGTCCAGGGACGACTGTCATCGAGGGCAACGAACAAACAGACGACCGTCCAAGGCGCTACATTGTGTTTCAAGAACCACTCAATGAGCACTTGTCATTGTACGAGTCAGTCGAAGAAAAAACAATTGCTCTTCGTTTGGCCTCGATCGGTGGATATCATGAAATTTGTCGGTTTTTGTTAGAGCAAGGAGCATCCCCAGATCCCCATGCGTTGATTATTGCCTCATCTAACGGACACTATGAGGTTGCGCAAGTCTTGTTGGACAAGGGGGCAGATGATAAGCTCCAATATCCCTATCATACTACTGCCCTGGAGGTCGCATCTATATGTGGGCAGTATAGGATCGCGCAGCTGCTTCTGCGGAACAATGTTGATGTTAATTTTCGCAGTGATAGTCGTCATAAAACATCACTCGTGGCTGCTTCTGAAGCAGGTCATCTTGAAATGGTTCAGCTTTTAATAGAGCACGGGGCTGCGCTCAGTTCTCAAAGCGACGGGTCCCAGAAATGTCCCTTAATCGCCGCTTGCTTTGGGGGTCACCTTACGATTGTGAGGGCTTTACTGGAGGCGGGTGCCAGACCGGGTGCCAGACCCAACTATGGTCCCGGCGCTATTCCTCCCCTTTTGCATGCTTCTAAGTATGGAAACATCGAGATTGTGCGGGCCCTGGTGGAATATGGAGCTGATCCCAATCTCGATTCATATCATGGCCTTGCTCTAGGCGCTGCGTGTGAATTGGATAAACTTGAAGTTACGCGCTACTTACTACAAATTGGGGCTGACGTTGATGGGCGTGGTGGAAAGTCTGGTGCCACTGCTTTAATACTGGCTGCTCATGAAGGTAACGTTGATATTGTAAGATCTCTGCTAGAGGCAGGGGCAAATGTCCATATCGAGAGCGATTATCACGGCAATGCTCTTATCGCTAGTTCCCAGCGGAGTCACCTTGATACAGTGCAGAGTCTTCTAGACTTCGGTGCCGACATCAACGCTTATATCAAAACACACGGGACTGCATTACAGTTTGCTTGCATAGGAGGTGATGAGAGGGTGATTAGAGTACTATTGGACAAGGGAGCCAATGTGAATGCCCCAGATGGGCGATGGGGCAATGCCCTACACATTGCGTTCAGAAGTGGATATGACAAGATTGTTCAATTGCTTTTGGAGAATGGGGCCATTGTTGATGCACAAAATGGACAATATGGCGATGATCTGCAGAGTGCTTTTCAGGAGGGACATGACAGGGTCATGCGATTGATGTTGGAGAAGAGAGCCAAAGGTTATTATAAACGTTCCAGAATACGGAATTCCTTCCTAGATAGAAACTTGGTCGGGTGGTAGGCCCTTTCCACAAAAGACAGTACTATGCAGCCTGTATCTACCGAACATACATAATTCGTCCGGACATATGGTCTAATGGGGGTGCATAATATCAATGATCAAGGTGGTAATTACGCGACTACAAGGAGCTGTACGTTTCGATCTTGCAGTGCTTATATTAGACCTTGTGGGTGTTTACTCACGGTTGTTTTCGAAGGGCAGCTTCGGATCCTGTTATCTCAAGACTCATGAACAAAATAATTTTGTTTGGCTGTATTGATTGCATTGCTATATGGTAAAATGAGATACACAGGATTATTTGAGAATCCCATTTCATCCGTATCCTGTCTGGGATGTATCTAAAGACAGAAGGTATCATATCTACAATTTTGCTTTCAGATGAGGTGATTGAAGGCCATATAAATGTGGAGTAGTGAGACAACAATGCAATTGGCAAGCATGTCACCTAATTCGCCCCATCTATTGTAGATTTGGCCCTTAATCAGACCTTCCAGGATGGTGAATCTATGCTTAATCACGACATAAGGGTGGAAAAGCAAGAGTAGTCGCTCATCTTATGTCACGTGTTTCATAAGGGTGCTCGCTATCATGTAGAATCATAATCATGAGGTTCAGTAACTGGCTACAAAGATAAATATCCAACGTGACATGGGCTAACCCTTCGATTGCTTGTCTTCGGGCATATAGGTGTAGACATCCTTCACAGCTATATGTATTCATTCAACGACCCCTTAACTACATACGATAGTCATAGATCCACCTGACCTATGATCGCTACCACACACCATGTAGGGCTCAGAAATCACCAAACCATCCCGCTAGACCTTCCTACTGGGGAGGAGGACCAGGAGGACCACCAGCATCCGGATTCTCGATGCCGCCATCCTCAGTGTAGAACACCGCAGCCTTGACATCGTTACTCTGCGTGGGGTCAATGCCCAGCGAGATCCAGCCGAACAAGCCAGCGCTCACATCGTCGCCCTCGCCGAGCGTCACGTACTGGGCGAAGGGGTCGATCTCGGCAGCTTCCTCGGCAAGAATGCCATCTTCGTCGTTGGTGGTCAGAGGCTGGGTGTTGGCCGCGTAGGTTTCCGTCTTTTCGACGGCGTTGATCAGTTCCTGGTCGAAGAAGATCTGGCCGACGTAGGAGGCGGTCGTGGTATACAGGTCTGAGAGGGTGTCGTTCTCATTGGCTTTTGTGTCGCCGGGGTGGGAGAGAACTTTGATTGTTAGTATCTTTAAGTTTTTCAAGTACATATCTCTATCTGTATGTGTAAGTGGGAATAAAGGCGTGCATACCGTGAACATGGGTGGTACGCCCAGTATAATGTCCCGGGAAGATAGTCTCAAATTGCACCACGCCCTCGGCGCTTGTTTGCTGGATACCGCGAAGGAAGGTCGCGTCCAGGTTGCTTTCACTTTCGGGGTCTCCATTGCCATTCGCCACGACACCGGAGTAGACACCCTTTTCGCTCGCCCGTTAGCACTGGGTGTGGTCATTGAGGAGAAAAGGCAATGTGACGTACGGTAGCATTGCAGTGCCAGATTTCGATGTAAGCCTCCGGCACAGGCTCGCAGGTCTTGGTGTCGACAAGCTGGATATCCAGGAATAGGGGCACGCCAGCCTGCTCCTCGGAGACATCGGTGCGGATCAGTTCCCCGCTGACGTCTACACATATTCATTAGCACGATTCTTAACATTAGCTAGGTTAGGTAAGAGACGAACAGTAGGGTCCCTCGGTGACATCGGGGCCCAGGATGCAGGTGCCTCCGGACTTGAACAGCTCCGAAGGGTCCACCGTCTGGTCGACGTCAAGATCAGAGTGGTGGGGCGAGTGGTCTCGTCTCTGGAACTCGGTCAGATCTGCATGGTGTTAGCAGGATGCTCGGCGGACCGCAGTACGAAGGTGGACATACGGGCCAAGTCGCGTTTCCGACGCAGACTGTTCGCTGCATGTCGGCGTCTGGCCATGTTCGCCCGCTCAAGACCCCGCGCCTTCATCTGTGGGGCACAGTGCGCCAAACTGCGAGAGCTGAGCGGTGTGCGCTTGATGAATGCTGCGCGCTCCGCAGCCTCGGCCCTGATGTCGTGGCCGGGGTGGGCGGAGACCACACTGGCTAGGCCTACAAGGCCTGCGACGAGAGTAGATGCAATTCGGACCATGTTCCAGCCTGGTATGTGCGTGTCGCAGAATAAGAGGGGGTGGAATATCCTCTGTAAACTCCCTCTGCCAACGGACCTGGGATCATCGCTTCTTAAATAATGCTGTAGATCCGGGTCCCTACCCCTCAACATACCGGGATCCATATACCATCGCAATTGGGTACATCGGTCTTCCACTAGAAATGTCGGATTAGATACCGGCAATTGCGCAACAATCTCTTGACATGTCTAGGCCCGCCGGCGGGGTGATCCGCCTGGTCCGCGGTTGCTTCCACAAGTGCTGTCGATCAATGGTGGACTAATTCCTCAACGGCGTTAAGTAAATTGCGCATGGTTAGCTGTGGCTTGCTATTTATTAGCCGACCCTTTGATGGGCATATGGCCGTCTGACTTTTTGGGTGAGTTTCGGAAGTTGATACACCATCAAAGCAGTCCGTCCCGATTGGAAATAGGACAGCCGTGGTGCTAGATGGGGTGGCAGAAGTATTGACACCTACTAGGCCTCCAGTAAGGCATATAGAAAATGTCATCTCAGGGGAAATGTGCATTGCAGGTCATGCGGGCGGGATCCACAGGGTTGCAATGCGGAGCAAGCCTCCGTCAATCAAGCTCAGGGTTGGCGAAACACTTGGCATCTAGGCACTTTGCAGAGATTAATAACATTCTCACCATTCGTGGGATTTTGTCACAGGGAGGAGAATGCGGGGCATCGATTACGCTTTCAAGCACGCAATCCGTAGGTAGTCCGTACGCCGCTTTCCTTGGCAGGAGAAGCGGCCCGAGGTCTGGCATCTTGCGGGGCGTCGAGGTCATAGTTGAAGAATGCATAGTATGGAGTACAGTATGGCCTCAACGTCTATTATTTGTGATCCCTATTAATGTGGGATATATGGGCCCAAGAAACAGTCTGCAAGATGGAGCCATAAAGATTTAAGCTGTGGCTGGTCGAATTATGACACTGCAAATCTCATAGTTGACAATGGTCGATATCCAGCACCTGATCTTTGTCTAGACCGGGTCTTACATCCTTGACTTATTGATATCTCCTACGTGATTGAATGAGTCTACATTCTCAGTTGCATATTGGCTTGTTCATCTGACTCTTGAAAAGCAATCATGGTAGGGTTGCATCACAGATTTTGGCACGTCGCTAATACCCTGGAGATGTCAGTTCTGAATGCGCCCTCGCGTAACCGAACACTGTCTGATGCATGCGTGCCTTGAGTTGAAGGCGTAATATTGCCCATTCCAACCCGCGCCCTCTACACTAGCAGGTCGGCCGGGGTGGGAGTTTCAGGTCTGTTGTGGAAACTGTGGGGATTCCTTCTGATTCGGTAGACCTGGTATTATCTCAGACACCTGGATTGAAATCTCGATCGGGCTATGCACATTATAAGCTTTGTTCATCAATTTGAGTGAACAGCTGGTGCATTGGTTCTATACTGGCGCACCCTGATACCCTAGGCTGGTATTAAGGAATAACTGACTTGACTTTGGCTTCGCTGAGGAATTAATCTGGCTGCATTGATTGATTCGATTGATTCGACAATCTCTTAGAACTAATCAGAACATTAAATGGCAGAAAATTCATACTATCCAAGTATGCAGTTCATGTTTGTGTAGAGCTTTGTCCGTATCATCTTATCAAATACGAACTCAAGCCATGAGTTCAGAAAGGAGAAAGACTGCCTGTCTTTTTCCTAACCTTCGATAGCATGGTAGGCGGGTCTTGCTTCTTTAGTTACCACAGCGGGGCGGAGGAGCCCTTAGAGATGACACTGGTGGAAAAATGATTGCTTCCGTGTGGGAAAAACAGTTGAAACAGTCTGATCAGCGTCACAAACCATAGCAGACAAGATACATGTCGGGTATAACAGCCAGAGTAAGCGATACACCAAACTTGGGTCAACGTTTTGGCGTAGCGGTGTTGAGAATATATTATCCATCTGTGACTTCATTAGCCCCAACAATGACTATTATCTCTACCCCGAGACAATGACTCCGACTGATGGCATCACCCTAGAAATGTGTGGCATCACAAACTAACCATGCCCCTCGCATGCTCTGCTTACCAAACCTTCGATGGTCATTTCGTCTCCCTTCTTTTGAGCGTGGGATTGACCTGCAGCAGCTAGGATGCAGCCAAATCACATCCAAGGCACGACGAACGCGCAAAACGTCTCTACCACACGCCAGACTACCATTGAACTCCGGGCACACCATCCACGAAAACGGCACACTCACACCTACCCGCAACTCATGCGGCCCCAGAAAGAGGCGTAGCGGAAACCTTTTCAGGCCATGTCACATCGGGGAAAGTATCTCAATTAAATTTGTGCGAAGGCGTGGAAACTACTAATCTTTGGGCAAACAACATGCAATCGATTATACCAATCAACAGCATAATCTGGGTTAGCGGCACAAGGACTGCTGCATACTCCGAGTACAGGATTTGATCAACTCTCTACATTGATGCTCTTGTAGCCAAAATTTTCAATAATGCTGATTTATATCCAGTGTGTCTTGTGGCGCACTGTATGAGATATATGAGTGAAGTTTAGGAAACAGGATGCCTGACCTCGTCAGATCAAAGGCAGCTCGTGTTGTCTTATTTCCAGTAGAGTGCCTGCTTCAATGCATGGCGATGCTCTCATGAACCTTGCTAAATGGTATAGAGATGACTAGGGGTATGGTTCTCAAATAATATCATTATATGTTGGTTTGGGATAGCTTGGGAGGTGACAGGAATGGGGTTCCGGCTTCCAGTAGCCCAAAGAAAAGCTGTGTTTCAAGTGACTATATTTTCGGTGAATACCACCTATGGCTTACTATTATGCAGGAGTTTGGTAAAATTGAATTTTCAATTGTATTCTCCCTGGTGGTGATTTTTTTTTCTTGCTCATGCACATGCTATCCCTCTTATTAGCTTCTTCTTGGGTGTTTCATTTTCCATATCAAGTAGTGTAGTGAACTACATGAGATAGAGACCACAAAGTTGGAAAAAAAATCAGATGAAAACAAAGAAATTATGATAAATCACGAGTAAGAGGGCAAAGATGTTAATAACATAACGGGAAGAAGAAAATGATATACTCCTACAAGTAGTCACGTCAACGTCATGCTTGCAGTGGCTACGCTCCCAACAACTGGAGATGAATCTCCCCATAGCGGTACCGTGTTCCATGTTCCTCGCTACTATGATCTTCGTAGGGCTCCTGTGCAACAATTATGAAGCCCTTGGTTGCCAGGGTGAGTGTATGCATAAGCCCATGTGTCGCTACAGCACGAGAGCTACTCTCTGGAGGGATGAGCGCAGAAAAGGTGATTTGTTTCACTCCAGAAGAAGCAGTACCACCGGGTCCGTGGGTGGATGCTGTCATCTGGCCGTCAATTTTGACCGTGAGGAATTCGAGGAAGTTGACGCTTTCCTGGTCCAGTGTGGAGAGGTGTGTATTTTGAGAATCGAGTTGATTTCGACCCTGGACGCCTTCCACGCCGGCATTTTGATCCGAGTAGTGATTTGTCTGGAGATAATCGCCCAGGTCAAGGTCTTCGAGATTCGCCAGGTCGTTGGCTTCGAGATCCAAGCCGGTCAACGCGTCAATGTCGAAAGGAAGGCTGCGCCCGGCGAGTGGGCTTGTACTGGCTTGACTGCGTGATCTTCCGCCTTGCAGCTGAGCAATATCTAGATCTGTTCCAAACGATCCCACGGAGTGCGGCATGGGTCGGGACGATACGTCGCTGGCGCTTCGAAATCCGCGGAATGCATTCGCGATGGAAGAGCCGAATCGAGAACTCTGCACTGAGGCAGTGACGTTCCACGGCATTTGGGAGTGTCCGTCGTGAATCACCGATGACGCTTGACGGCCGATCTCGACGTTCTATAATGTGGTTCAGAAAACAGTATGGTTGAATAAACAGGGATTGCATACCTCGCGCCAGAAGTCCTCGTCCTCTACCTGTTCACCGCGGCCCATTTCCTCCTCGTATTCCTCCTCCTTTGCACGTACTCGCCGTGCCTCGGAATCGGAGTCATGTTCCAGCTCAAAAGGCTGTTTGCGCTTGAGTGTCTTTCTCTGGGTCTTGCCACTTAGAGCCTCAAACAAGGCGTCTCCTGAGAAGCATTGCAAAGGATGCTGGTACTGCGAGGCGCCTACCCCAGCACCAACAGATCCTATACCAAGACCATACACCCAAAGAATAGCGTTCTTCTTGGCCTGTGCTGACTGTTTGCTATAAGACTTTTGTTTCACAGCAGCAGCCATGTTCTCTACATAGCCATTATTAAGGCCTGCCAACTCTGTATTTCGCAGTGCGATCTGTTCGTCAGAGAGTATGGGTCTAGGTTGGCGTTTGCCACGGCCTGTAGATACCCTATTACTAGCCTGGGCAGTCTCAGTCTCCACCTCCTTTTCTTCCAGAACAGGGACAACGGGTTGGTCTGTGGACGACTGAGCTCGAGATGACCCGCTAGGCTCCTGAACGACCATTACCATCTCGTCGTCTACGGCCATCGCCTGAGTTGACAAGTCATGCAGCGGGTTATGATCATATTCTCGGGGAATAGGGGTGTCACTTTCTCTGTGCCTAGTTATTTCAGAAGCGCGGCGAGGTCCAAGTTCGACTATATTCCCATCCTCGTCGAACTCAAAGTCCGGTTGAAGCAGGACACCACCCTCCTCAAAAGCAGAAGACGCAATTCCAACTAAGCCATGGCCGCTTTGAACGAAGCCGGTGGCGTCTGTGTCGGAGCCGAATCGGCCCCAATCCCGCATGGCGATATCGCTGGACGAGAAGCTGAGACGAGGGCTGGTGCTCAGGGCAAGTGAGGATTGATGAAGGTCGGGTGTAGCAGGTAGTAACATGGAAGACTGCTGACTCAATGTCTTGTTCTCTGAGAGTATCAAGCTGGACAAGTCGAGCCCCAGTCCAGGAAGATTGGTCTCTGGCAGAAAGGTCGGATCGTAAGGCAATATGAGCTGTTCTGGTCTAGATGTCCATGTCAGATGGCAGGCAAAGCAACTTGAGCGACAAAGTATGGGCTGCACAGGGTTAACAAACCTCGCTTTTCCAGCACTTGGATCCAATCCTCCCCCAGACATGACCCTTAACAGCGATCTCATTCGGTCATGTACAGCCTGGACATCGGTGAGCGTATAACCGCATTGTTGATTGTGGACTCGCGAGACTCCGTACCTACAAGTTTGATCAATCGCGTTAGCCACTCGCATAGAGACATGAAATTCTGTCTAATCGCTTACAACAGGTTCCCCTGGAGTCTCAGCGCCATTGGAGCCTCTGGGTCTTTGATCACACCGCAAGCTCTGGTAACGTCCACATCCAATATTGCCTTGCGGTTCAACTTCCGCGTGATAGACTTTGAGCCTAGAGTCGCTACCAGCCTGAATCCCGGAGATTAGCTACCATTGTCTTTTCCACATAAGAAGCACAAGCTAATCGTCATGTACCATATCGTAGCAACACCATGCTCGGGGGACGTCAGTACTAGATGGAAGGGAACTTGTCAGTAAATCAGACTCTTGACAAGAATCAGAGTATAGTATCTCACTTTCATGGCTATAGAACATCTTGGGTGCTTTCAGACGCGATCCTACGCAAGCGAACGTAGTCTTATCGATGGCCTAGTGGATGAGGGTATGGTCTTCACAACCCGACGCGTACAGCCAGGCAAATACCTCGCGACTCGTACGCGTGTTGCCAGACTCAAGCGGTTCAACGATGACACTGTTCTGGGTGATGGCTGATGTGAATCGTAGTGACTTCACACGAAACTACTTGCCTTTTGACCTGTGAATGGTGTCTCGTAAGGCTGAGCGTGCCGTTTGTAAGACGACTTCAGATGATATTGACTGTGTTCAACTCTGTAACTCGAAAAAAAGGATGCTGATAAAAGTGGAAATAGTAGGAAGATGTGAAGAGAGGAAACAGTGTGGAGGATGAGAAGTGAAGACAGATATTTGCTCAGGACGTCTGCCTGAGGTAGCCAACCAGCCGGCTTGCGATCTCCTACAATTTCCACATCCTAAAGGGTGAAAGATAAGTCCAAGGCCGACAATGCCCATTACTTAACGTACTGTACAGTCCAATACTAATCTAGACTTCCACAAACCGAAACAGAAATCCATCTACAGCCAGATAGTCCAAACCGCAAATGCAAACTGAAAACACGGGGCAAGGTCAGCACCGCTTGAACCCTACCCTAGCAGACAGACAGAAAGAAAAGACTTTTGTTATCATTCCCTCCTCTAACAACCCCCAGCGCCAGCAACATTATCCCATCAGAAAGCCCTACTTTCCCGTATGGGATAAAAAAAATGTAAAGGGGGGGGAGGGGGAATATCCACAAATAGTACAAGAAAGGACGGCCTGGCTTCTATTGGAGGAATAACAAAAACAGTCAAGAAAACAAAACAGCGACCGTGTTTGTTATGGAAAAACATATAGCAAGAGGCGATAAAAGGAAAACCCTTACATATGATCTCCCACCATAGCAATCGACGAAGATGCACGCGGGGTATGATATATGCGACAGATCAAACTAAAGGATGACACATGAAACGGAGAAGGAAGATGGAAAAAAGAGATGGTGCCAAGATAAGCGACAGGAGAGGAAGAACCGTCCGCGACTCAGACTCGAAGAGTGCAAAAGTTGACGGGAGACCGGATCCTGATAGCGTAACACTTCATATACCTGCCCTTCGGCTATACCAGATTTAAACGGGCTGAGACCGGCCGGAAATCTATTCGAGAGGGATGCCGTCGTACTCGCCGTATCCGAGGGCAAGGTTCATGTTCTCTGTGAAATACATTAGTAAAAGCGTAGACAGGATCACCGATCTCGGGAAACTCACGGAGGCACTGGGTGGCGGCACCCTTCAGCAGGTTATCGATGGTGGCACAGATAACAGCCCGCGTACCGGTGGCATCAACGGCGAAGCCGCCGACCTCCACACCATGGCGACCAGCGATATCCTTGACGAGAGGGGGCTCGCCCACAATCTTCACCAGCTTCTCGCCGGCGTACCGCTCGTGGAAGAGGTTACGCACTTCACGGGAGGACATCTTCTCCTTGAGGGGGATGCTGATCGTGTGCTTTAGAAAGGATTAGTGATCGCTCGGACATAAAACCCTATCGGGGAGGGAAAGGGGGGAGATAACATACATGGATACCCTGGAACCACACGGCAACGTGGGGGACAAAGGCAACGCTGGCCCCAAGTTGATAGCCAATCTCCTTCTCGTGGATGTGGCCGGTCAAGCTGTAGGGGATGATGTTGTTGGTCAGGAACTCCACGTCGTTCTTGGGGCTGGGCTTGGTGCCAGCGCCCGAGTAGCCAGAAACACCGAAGATGGTGGGCTGGGCCGACAGGAAGGGGACGAGAGGCGCAATGCCGATCTGGGCAGCGGTCGCGTAGCAGCCGGGGTTGGAGATACGGGTGGCCTGAGCGATGGTGGAGCGGTTGACCAGCTCGGGCAGACCGTAGGTCCAGTTGGCGTCAAACCGGTAGTCAGCACTCAGGTCGACAATCACGTTGCCCTTGGGGGAACCCTGGTCGACGGCGTCCACGAAAGGCTTGCACACGCCGTTCGGCAGCGCCATGACCCAGCAGTCAACGTCGCCGTTCTCGGACATGCGCTTGACATCCTCGGGGCTCAGGTTCTCGTAGATAATCTCCCGCTTGTCATAACCCTGCAGCTGCTTCCCCGCCAGCTCACGCGACGAGACGTGGCGCAGGTCCAGGTGCGGGTGGGCGTTGATCAGGCTGATCAGCGCCTGGCCCGTGTAACCGCGAGCGCCAATGAGGGCCACCTTGGACGGCTGGGTGTTGGACATGTTCTTCTCGCCGAGAGGGGGGTTCGGGTTGGTGGTGACGAACGTGCGCACGGCCTGCACGGGGACCGTGGGACGGCCCGAGCGAGCCGCACGCAGGGCGTTTCCGGTGGTCGAGAAGGTACGCTTCTGCTCCGTCGAGGCAGCGCTGGCGCCAAAGCCCTTGCCGATGTTGGTGGCCGCCTGGGCGGCACGGTGCAGGCGGGACTCGAGGTTCAGGTCGCCAAACATCTGACGGCCGTCCTTGTTGAACTCCTGGACCAGCTGCTTGACCTCCTCGCCGTTCTCGATTCCGTACCAGAACAGGACCTCGCCGTCCCGGCTCAGGCTGCCATCAGCCTTGTCGAAGAACCAGGTCAGGTTCTCGTCATCCTCCTTGACGGTCCAGACCAGCTTGGGGAAGTCCTTCTTGATGGAGGCGAACACATTGTCGGCGACGTTGGTCAGCCACCCCGACTTAGTGATGGTGAAGGTGGCCAGGTGGGCCAGAGGGGTGGTAACATCCTTCTGGGGGGGCAACACGACGGCCAGGGCCTCCATGGGCTCATCGTAGTAGACCTTGAAGTCGCGCTCCTTGAGGCCTTCGACGTAGCGATCGACCGTCGCGCGGGCATCCAGTCCCTCGCGGTCCCGGACCAGCACCTCCTTCAACTTCTCCAGATCCTCAAACTCGGCGAGGGAGGTCTTGGTGTGCACCTTGTTACCACGGCGGATCAGGGTACCGGCACCCGAATCGGTGAACAACTCCTTCTGGAGATCGGCGGGGTGGATGATGGCAACACTGGAGGTGCGCGGCAGGTCGTTGAGCAGATCCTTCATCTCCTTGATCTTCAGGCGAGTGCCGTGACGCACCCACCACTGCTGCATGAGTTGCTCATACTCCTCGTCCAGGTTGATGGCGGAGATCTTCTCGCCCGTGTCGCCGTTGAACAGGCCACCCTTCTCGGCGAGGTAGACGATCTTGAGGGGCTGGAGGGCACGAGCCAGCTCGCCGGCGGCCACGTCGGCGTTGACGTTGAGGACCTGGCCATCCGGGGTCTCGGCCATGGAGGTCAGGATGGGCAGGCAGCCCGCGGAGATGGCAGACTCAATGGGCTTCTTGTTGACGCCATTGATCTTACCCACCAGGTTGTACTTCTGCTTGTCGAGGTAGTCGGCGGAGAAAACGCCCGCGGTGACGGGACGGGCCCGCACCCCCATGCGCTCCAGCTCCTCGATCAGCTTCAGGTTCTCCTCCAGGAACAGCTTCCGGGCCAACGCCAGAGTCTTGCCGTCGGTCACGCGGATTCCATCCTCAAACTCGGGCTCCACACCGGCATCCTCGAGCATGCGGTTGAGCTGGGGGCCGGCACCGTGCACCACAATCGGGTAGAGTCCCACGCCGTTCAAGAAGGCGAGCGCGGAGGAGAGGGTCTCCAGGTGCTCGGTAATGATCGCACCACCGACCTTGATCACGGCGAACTGCTGGGAGGAGACGGAGGTGAAATGGGAGAGGTATTGCTGGACCTCCCGCTTGGAGCCGATGTTGCTCAGCAGCTGGACGACGGTGGAGCGGGTCGACGAGAATTGCGGATCGGCGGCACGGGAGTAGTGACGACCTTGCAGCAAGGGCACGGCCGACGCCCGGAGAGCGTGACGGGCATAGGGAGAGGACAACCTGGCCGAGGAGACGGCGTGTGGTGTGGAGAGGGCTCGAGCGGATTGTCTAGTGGCGGTCGAAGTTCTCCGCACGGCGGTGCGAAGGGAGAACATCTTGTCAACCAGCATGCGGCAGCTTCGGAAGAGAACTAGAGAAAGGGGGAGGAGGGAGAGGACGGGTTGATCGTGCGGAGGAGGGAGGGGAGAAAGAGGAAGCCGTGTATAGGAATTCCCAGTCTCAAGAGGAGGGGGGGAGAAAGAGGAGAGAGTGGAGGGGGAGAGAAATGAGAGAACGAGTCACGAAGTTGAAGGGAAAAAAGACAAAGTGGAGGCGAGAGGATTCTGCCCTTAGTCAGCCGCACCGCCTTTTGACTCTGGTAGTAATAACTACAATACTCATACATCTCTACGAGGCATTTTCCATCTCACTGCAGGAATGGTTCATCTCTATCATATTGGTCGTGTCATTTGCTGTTCTATTCACTGGCTGAGCCATTTACCATCCAATCCCTCCCTTTCCCCTCTGTCTGAACATATGAGTGATTAATGACCTGAATCCACAGATCTTGGTCGCTGGATTCTTGGCACCGAATATCGGAGCCGAACATGGTGACGACTAACGCGGAAAAGATCTGGAAAAAAAGGACAGGGAATTCAGGGAATTTGTGTGAAAATGCCATGAAAATGAAAAGCAAAGAGAAAAGAAAAGAAAAGAGGGGAACAAGTACATCCCAAACACAGTCGTAATATCCAGTCCACCCTATTCATCCCGGTTGACTCTCAATCTTCATTCCGTCCCCACCACTGCCCGAAGCCCAACGGTGTCATTCGTCTTCCGCTCGGAATGGAAATTGGCCCTGCACAGAGCCCACCCTCTTTGGGAAAGATTATGATTATCAGATCTCGCGGTGGTCCCCCGTTGACGAATGATGCTGGCGGATTTCCTTTGGCAAATGGGCCCTCTCGTTATCTGATCTTCTAGCGAAAGCCTCCTTCAGCCTTCTGGTCCACCATAATTCTGCTTCACCAGTCATGAGTCACGACTTGTCGCTCGTCGCCCCATTTTGCTGGCTTGTAGCCCTGTACACGGCGCACTAG